GTGCCCACCCGCATTCAAGAAGCTGCTGTCCGGCCGTTGTAATTAAACATGATGATCATGTCCCCCTTAATTGCTTCTTCTCAAGAGAGAACAAATTCATTTTAGCTAATCTTTCCTCATAACTGAACTCCTCCATGCTTCTTTTTTTTTCTGTAGTTCAATATCTCATATGCAGACATACTAGGGCCAGTTTAAACAGGAGCCAATTAACCTACCAGTGTGTCTTTGGAGTCTGGTAGAGAACAAGAGTATGCTCATGCAAGGACAGAGAGAACCTGTAATCTCCATACAATAGTGTCTTGGTCATACCTGTATTCAAACCAGGGAACTCAGCACTGCAAGGCAGAAGTCATACTATGGTAGTCATGGCTTTATTCTCTTCTCCTGTAAGCATGCTCAGTGTAGGTGTATATGGGGAGCTAATGTAAAGGTATTTATACTACAGTACAGTATTTAAGAATACATTTACTAATTTTTGATGAATACATAACTAGATTATAGGGTGTATATTTTTAAATCCCTGGATTTTAGCTTTAGGCAGCTCTGTCACAAAAATTAAAAATGTCTCAAAAATGTCCCCTCTGCTTAGAAGATCTTCAATACTAGCTTCTTCTGCTGCCCGTGCCACTGATCACCACTATAATCCAGAAAACCTTTTTAATCCAACACTTCCAGCAGTGTTCTCCTTCTGGTCCCACATAGCGAGCAGTGGTCCCTCTTGCCGGATTTTTGTTACTATTGTACAGGACGCCAGGAATGGGTCCAGGATGAACGGTATATCCCTCCCTTGTTTAGGTGGTGGTCCAGTTAAGGTTACCTTGTATTCAGGGTTCTCACCAAGCAGGGTGAGGGGTTCTGGGTCGGACTTGTAAGGGAAACTGCTAGGTAGTCTTCCCAGAGTTGTTAATTATACATGGGTCCCGGAATCCGGAGGCTGAGAGAGATTATTGGGTGGGACAGAGCCTCCATCCCTGACTACAGCCAGTTCTGGTAATGAAAGGGTTAACCCACCAGCCAGAGAGTGTGTTAAAAAGGAACAGAAAACCAGTCAGTCTGTGTCTGTGAGAAGTGTTTGGAGCAGGACATGTGGCTGTGTGTGTTAAGCTGTGGAATACCATCTACCGAGACACTGCTGAGACACCTGTGTCCATACTGGAACCCTCTGTGAGCAGGCTGGGACTCTAACCATGAGGTGGGACTTGGTATACAGGTGCTGAATCTTGTGTTTGCTGACAATAAGCCCTGTTGATTTTGTCATTCTGCTGAATATAAGCCATTTTTATTTGATTGTTTGCGGAAAAGAATAAAAGTTTATTTGGTGATACGGCTGGCTACGGGTCATATCCACCCTTAATATTATACTATAGAACACAGTAGTTATCTATGGATTGGTGGGAAAACCCACTAAGTCCAGTGGAGGACTAGTAAACAATCACTCCAGAAAGGTTTGAATTTAGAAGATTCTAGAAGTGTTTTCTCTGGATTACAGTGGCACTAGGCAGTGTGGGCTGCGGGAGAGGTGAGTAATTATGTACACACCTCTCCCACAGCCCACACCACCTAGTGCCACTAACTTTTTTAGACTTTTTATTTTAGCCACAGTGCCACTTTAAGTAAATACATGCAATTTCTGTTCCAGTGCTATAATAACAACCAGCTATTGCAACCTGGAATAGCTATAAATATGCAGTTTTTAGCCTCGTGTATGTAAAAGAGACTTCATATTGAGTCCTGTGGCTTATGGTTTATCGGGGGAGTTTTTTAAAATTATTATTGATTCTGGTTTAAAAAAAAACAAATTTCACCCTGTAGCATTCAATCAGACTGTGAGTGACATTTTGTCTTGTGTAATTTAGAAAATTAAAGCAAGCATGTGGTCTCCTTGGGTAATACCACCTTTTTTCCTTTGCATTTGTTTTTGTTACTGCCCCCATATCGCTTTGTACAATTTCAGGGTTCAATTATAAAACCAGGAACACATGAAAGAATAAGAGCTGCCGCCCATAGCAAGTAATAAGGTGTCAGTTTTCATTTTCCGTGCCGGAAAATCGCAATTGGTACTATAGGCATGGCCTCTACCTTTTTATTTCTTTAATTTTGGTCTTAGAAAAGCAAATTTGTCTCTGCTGTCCACGAATGCTCATGAAAATCAGCATGAACAATTCTCTGTTTTGTTTGTCCTTTATTATTTTTCTTCTTTAAGATGCAAACTATCATATTAATAAATGGCCTTCAATGTGTTCCTTTACACAAGAACAATAAAAGTACATAATGAACAAAATATACCTTTTTTACTATTCAAGATAGGTAATTCACTGTAACACCAAGGCTGCAATTCAGCTCTGCGATTGTCAGTGCTGTAGCCCGCTGTCCTTCCATTGCCCTTGAATTGAATATAATTAAATAGAAGAATCAGTATGTGTTATTAGGGGAACTTTGAGCCATTGTAACATTTCAACAGGTAGCCAGTGGCTGTCATCTACAAGGCCAAAGGGCAAGAGAGAAAAGCAGCTCCAGATAGAGATTTAGAAAAGAGATGCAATAGGAGACACAAAATGAAGAGACAAATGCTACCAGCTACATGAGATTTCATGACATATTCTTTTGTACTTCTTTTAATCTCTTGCGTGCCGGGGGCTTTGGAAGTATGTCGTTTTGCAATTTTTTGTCGGCCCCTGAAGCTGTGGAATATGTTTGTGAGAGTTTATTTATATTCCATCAGATTATTGCATTGATCTCACAACCCTCCTTCCCTGAGATGCCCTATTTTAATTTTGCTTATCGAAAGACATTGAATTATATCTTACAGCAGGCTCAGCCTTCCTCAACCCTGAAGGAGATTGCGGAGGAGAGATGGATAGTGACACTCAACTGACTTTCTATACGGACCCTTCTCGGAGCCGAAGACGTAGCAGAGGTCAGCTTTGAAAGTTTTTTTGTTTTTTTTTAATAGATGTTTTAAATGGTCAAGTCCACACGAATTTGTTATTTATGTGTATGGATATTAGATGGATCAAAATGGATTACTGCACAGATCTGAAGATATACACCGAGGACACTAATATTCAAGTAATGCACATGATTCTTGTTTAGCCTGGATTTCTTCTTTAAACAGATATTAAAGGAGAATTATGAGGCGAGAGAAAATCTCTTTCGATCTATCCCTGCAGAGATTCACGGCTCCCTGCAGGGATTCCCCCCCCTCCCCTGTCCGATCCTCCAGCACTGACTTGCGGAACGGACGGGGAGGGGGCGGGCACAGCTGGCTCTGCCTCTAGATAGGCAGAGCCAGCTGTCAATCCAGCAGCTGGGTGGATCTCGACAGTAATGTTGGGATCCGTCCCGGCTGCGGCGTCTCGGTATACCGTGAGCTGTAGCTCACGGTATACTGAGCTTAGGGTGACGGGAGGACTCTAGTTTGTGCCCTCCCGTTACCCTTAGGAGCACTATGGGGAAAAGCCCTGACCCTATAGTTCTCCTTGAAAAAAGTATTCTGTATGACAAGATGCTGCCTTCTGAATGTCAGTTGGTAACAGCGATTTAGATGTCAGCAGAGGTACAGTTTTGATGCTGCCAAACAGGATATCATGGTTTATATAACAAAACAGAAAAAAAACCTTTTACATCAGAGTCACCCACTCTCACACCAGGAGTCCCCTTTAAATCAGAAGCTCTGTTCACATCAAAGTCATATCAACCCATCAGGAGCCATAGCTGTGGCAGCAGGGTAGAGGGCGGGAGCTGGAGTATCAGAAATTTCAGTAGAAATGTCATTTTTTTATGAATAGATCCCACCCTCCCTGGATTAGCACAAGTCATTTGCATGGTGCTAGTAGACGACCCACCTGCAACATGGAAAGGCATGATGCCAGGTAACAATTTTGGGGCACCCCTGAGGAAGCCAGAAGGCACACCAGGGTGCCATGACACCTAATTGAGCAGGGTTGCTATACAGGATAAAGTGGGTAGATTAAGAAGACATCTTCAGGACTAACTTCTCCCGTGTTATAAACAGTAGAGATTGAGTAATTGCTATTTTTCTTGGGATCAGCTGACAAGCGATGTTTTTGAATGTAGGTCTCTATAGTCATGTGTAAAATGGGGAGAGCTAAAATCAGTCTCAAGAAACAAAAATCCAAACTTATTATATTAAATCCACTCCAAATGCTGTATACAGGGTAATATCACTGCAAACAGCAAAATGACAATAGGAATGCAAACCCTTTATAGCGTAATAGTCTCACAGCTTGGACTATTTTCATTAGCATTACGACTAGCCTCAGGAGTTTGCCCTGCAGACCATGTACAAGGTCAAGACATACGTGACAAGACATTATTTAGTCTGGCAGAGAAGCAAAAATAAAGCAGAGTATGCTGATGAAACTTTTCAGAAAATGTCTCTTAATAATTTTCCACTTTAAAATAGACTTCCTCCTTTATAGTGCCAAGGGCTCATATCACGATGCTCTTGTAATTATTTCATCCTTGCACTAGCAAATTCAGGGCAGTGTAACAGGTTTAAGGCATGGAAGGTGAAGGTGTCTGCTCCCTCACTTGCCAAAGCAATCCCAAAATCACATGCCTCCTTACCTAAAAGTCCCAGGTAACAAGCACCAAACTAATGTACATAGAGTCCACATAAGCTTTTATAACTACATTTTGGGGTGACCTTAAAACATCTAATCCATTTCTATGGCCCCACTACCCCCCCCCCCCCC